GTGTCGCCACAACCCCCTGATCTGCCCTGCTTTGTGTGTGCCAGGGGGTGGCACCACACCCTCCCCATCGACCCTGCCTTGAGTGTGACAGGGGGCGGTGCCCCAATCCCCCAATCGGCCCTGCTCTGAGCCCGACCAGGGGCTGCGCCTAGGTATGGGGCCTGCCTCCTGCCACCCGGGAGCAGGTCTAAGCCAGCAGGTCATTATCTCCCAAGGGGTCCCAGACTGCGAGAGCGCACAGGCCGGGCTGAGGGACCTCCCCTCCCCTCGAGTGCACAAATTTTTGTGCACCGGGCCTCTAGTCTATATAATAAAAGCCTAAGCAACTGATAACAGTGGAACTATATAATAAAAGCTTAAGCAACCGTTATGGCGGAATGACCAGAATGACCCATTGCTATGATGTGCACTGACCACCACAGGGAAGACGCTTAACGCAGGAGCTTGCCCATGGTGGTCAGTGTGCTCCCACAGGGGGAGTGCCACTCAGCCAGACGTCAGGCTCACAGCAGCACTAAGGAGCAGCGAGCCAAGTGGTAAGGAGCAGCGAGCAGGTGGACATCCCCTGAGGGGTCCTCAACTGCGAAAGGACACAGGCCAACGTCCTATGAGGGGTCCCGGACTGCAAGCGGATGCAGGCCTGGCTAAGGGACACCACCACCCCATGACCGGATCCCCCCCACCCCACCCGCCCCCTCCTCCAGTGCACAAAATTCGTGCACCGGGCCTCTAGTTTAGAAATAAAAGTGCACTTACCCCTTGTAATAGGAAGAGCATTAGACTATGCATCAATTAGGTCTAATCTGGATTCAACTAAGTCTTTTCTCTGTGACCTTGAACAAATCACTTAACTTTTCTGGACATCTGTTTTGTTTGTTTGGGGTAAAGTAAGTCCTTTTTTGGGAGGTGACATTAGTTAATATAATTATATATGTTTCAAGTATACAACTCTTATGATACATCATCTGTATATTGCATTGTGTTTACCACCCAAAACTGTTTGTTTTATATATATATATTGATTTCAGAGAGGAAGGGAGAGGGATATAGAGATGGAAACATCAAAGATGAGAGAGAACCACTGATTGGCTGCCTCCTGCCCACTTCCCACTGGGGGAGATCGAGCCCGCAACCCAGGCACGTGTCTTGGCTGGAATCCAACTTGGGACCCTTCAGTCCACAGGCCGAGCTCCATCCACTGAGCCAAACCAGCTAGGGCTGTTTTAAAATTCTTAAATGATAAGAACCCAATAGTAAATAAGACAAAATAAGAGGTATCTAGTATATACCCTTAATTTTGAAGAGTGCTACAAAAATAATAGCTTTATGACAAAAAATCATTGAGAATACTGGCTGAATGATACCTTTTAATGTTAAGAGATAAATTGTTTTATGTCTTTAGGTTTCAGGTATTGAATTTGTTTTTGACTTTTTCAGTTCTCTAATAGTGACATTTTTCTATCTGAGATTGCTGTTTCTGGGGAAGTGATATAAAGTAACATGTAATGAGAATATTTCTGGTTTGAGGAATAATTGTGGAATCAAAGTTTTTACTTCCCCTCTTCATTGTTTCACTTGCCATGAAGTCAGAATCAAAAACTATATTTATGTTCCAAGGAATGTAGTTTGTCAAAGGATGTCATGTATAAACTTAAACTCTTATAACTGAACAGGTAAATGTTGAAGGTATTTTATTTGATGGTTATATTCTATGCAAATACTAGAAACATAAAATATGTCTTTATGCTATGCTTCCTTAAACTAATTTTTTTTTAACCAGGGGGAGAGAAGCAAAGAGTAGCAATTGCAAGAGCCATTTTGAAGGACCCTCAAGTTATTCTCTATGATGAAGCCACTTCATCATTAGATTCAATTACTGAAGAGGTAAATGTTAGTGAAAATATAAAACTCTTCAATTATCAATGCTTAAATTTTCTCCTTGGAAATTTTAATAAAATGGCTATATTCTTTTGTATTTTGAGTGAACTTCAATGGGAGGTGCTATAGAGCAAAATACTTAGCCATTTTTTCCTAGATAACAATTGTTGATAGTAAGAATGCCAGACTGCATTGAAAGATCACATTGTTCAGTTCATTTGCAAGTATGCCTTCTTTTGGAACTGTATGATACCTTATGCTCTTACTGCATTGCCCTTGCTTTTTTACAAAGCTGTCAAAATTCTCTAGTCTGCTGGCAAAGGAAGAAGATTTTAGTCTTTCTGCTATTACCATTTAACACTCATTAAAACAAGTCATGTAAATGATTGTGATACAGTATACAGCAGAAAGCCTTTCACTTGTCATGGAGCAACTCACTGAAGTGCAAACAGGCACACACAGCCTGTAGTGCTGGTATCAATTTATATTTATTTCACAACAAGTATTATGAAACTGATGTCATGGTATTATTACCCATCAACTACATTAGACTTCATAACAACATCTTTGTATTAAATACAAAGTCTTAAAAACAATGACAATTTCATGAATAAATTTCTTTAGTCTACATTGAAGATAGCTAGATGTTATTTGTCAGTTGTTTCCTTTCACCCATATTTACTTGAATATATAGTTAAAACCTAGTGTTGAAGGATAGGCCTAATTTCAGTTTTACAGCATATATGACATAATTTTTGCATAAGGGAGTTAAGATCCAGGGCACATTATTTGACTTGTCATGTGCTTAAAACAGTTTAATTTCTAAGTGAATTGTTTAGTATCAGGATTTGTTGCATTTGAAGGGAACCTTAAACAGGACAGACCCCATTCATAAGCAGAGTAAGAATCTATATATATATAAGCCTAAGCGACTGGACAACTGGACAACCAGCCGGTAGCTATGATGCGCACTGACCACCAGGGGGCAGCCACTCAACACAGGCTATGCCCCCTGGTGGTCAGTGCACTCTCACAGCGGGAGTGCCACTCAGCTGATAGATGGGCGCTACACCCCAGGCTCACGGGTAGCAAGCACAGCTGTGGCAGCAGCATGAGCCTCTTCTGCGGACACTCCCCCTGTGCACCTGAGCGGTACCCAGCCCGGAATCTGGCTCCTCCCTAGCCTCCTGCCGCTCCCCGCACTACTTCGTACTGTGCAGGATCAACACGGACAGCAGGCTGGAGCCCTGGCAGGTAAAGCTGGGCTGCAGTGGCACGGAGGTCCACTGATCCCCACTGGCCAGCCAAGGGACCCCACAGGCCATGAGTCTGTTTATAAAAACTTTATACCTAAAAATATTTCCTCCATGTTTATTACAAATTAAGAGTCTCAACAGTCATTATTTGAGCCACGTAGCTTTATCATCTTATGTAGCACAACTCATTAAGAGGTAGCAGAGACACCTCCCCAAGGGAATGAGTTACCAACAGATTTGGTAAATTTTAATGGTCCTTTTTAATAGGTCCATAGAGCACGTCAGAGTAATTTCTTGAGGATTAGGAAGTGGAGTCCCCACAAACATCACAATTTTTCTTAGAATTGGTCCTGCACTTCCTTTTCAGTCTCCAGTAGTAAAATATAAGGTCTTATTTTCCTGGGTAACTATGTGCTCTTGATAATTTTATTTCTTTAATACATACAATGTTTAGAAATATCTGTAGGAAGACATTTGGTATAACCCCATCTCCCACATGCCTATTTCCATTTAGCTAGCTGTATTTAGACCCAGGTTTCCAAATATAGCTCTGTGTGTGTGTGTGTGTGTGTGTGTGTGTGTGTGTGTGTGTATGTGTGTAAAGTATATATATACACTTTACAGGCTATCAAGAAAAATGTGTTCTCCAGAATGCATTAAGTAGTCAGAATTGTTTTAAAAATAAGTTTCCTCAAGTTATACATGCACAGTTTTCTGTGTCCTTTCTGTCCTCTAAGTTTGAAGGAAAAGCAAATGCTCATGTCCGCATTGAGTCTCATATTTTTCTCTTGATCTTTTTTTTTAATTTCTGTGCATCTTACCACTTGAGTCCCTCCTTATTTCATTTTTGCTCTCATTGACCAAATAAACATCATATCTGGCTATGCTCCTAATGTCACTGTATTCATCATTATGGTTGATTTGTTTTTAAGTATAGAAAATAATCCACATTCTCCCAGACTAAAATTTACAGAAATGTTGCTTTTCTTAAAGGTAATTTTTTCCATGATAATGTGGTCATATTTACCTTCCCTTTTTGATTGATTTTCTCCTTAGTTATTATTAGATTAGGTCAAATATTTGGTAGTGGTATAAAGTTTATGTAATATAAAATTAATTGACATTTTATGTTTCTTTAAGGAATGTATGATTATTTTTTAATTTACCTAATAGATAGATCTTTTGTTCCCCTCTTACTCTTTTGTTGCCAAACTTACAGACAATTCTTGGTGCCATGAGAGATGCAGTCAAACACAGAACTTCTATTTTCATTGCACACAGATTATCAACAGTAGTTGATGCAGATGAAATCATAGTCTTGGACAAGGTAAGAGATTTAACTTTAAAATTTAGTATTTGAAGAACATTGGGAATTTTAACAAACACAGGTAAATGAAATCGTTTCTCTAATAGTTTTTATCATGGGAAAAATACTAAAATGGACAACCCACTTTCTCTCTTCTGTGGGAATTAATATAAAAGTGCACTGTCTAAATGTCCTAAACAAATCAAAGTACTACTATTGTGATTGGTGGATTTGAAAATTATAATAGTTTTTCTTTTCTACTTTCTATAAGGACTTCTCCCCACCCCTGGTACATTATCTAACATTATTAAGTTTTTCACCTTTCATTCAGCATTTTCCTTGATTGTC